ATGCACAGGGAGACAGCTCAGGGCGCAGGAGAGTATGGAGGGATGGTCACTGGGAAGAGGTAACTATGGGGAGGAAGTGGGAGGGGAGCTGTTGCATTGTGATGAATGACATGAGACAAAGTATATGTGAACTGCTATATGGAAAATGAATTTGCTCTGTAAATCTTCACCCAAATCACAATAAATTAAAAAAAATTTTTTTAAAAATATTAAATAAATAAATAAAAATGCCACTGTGCCCTCTGATCTGGCAGCTGCATAAACTTAGTCTCAAAAGTGGTTCTAGTCACTACTTAGAAAGCATATTTTTTCCCTCCCCCTCCCCCCAGGAAAAGCAATGGGTTATGCTGGGTTATCAACTCTTTCATGTTTGCACAGAGTCTGGAATTAGGGAAAATATTTTTTCATGTAAAATTAATGTAAACCTGGGGAACCAATGCTAAATAAAATAATGTTCAAGTTGCTTGACCATCTTGAATTTGACTTTGACTCCTGATAACCTTAGGGGGCCATTTGTCCCTTCCCCATCTCAGCTATGCCAGACTCTAGTAGTTATTACAAAAGACACACTCCTTGTAAAGGCTAAATGTGCTAAAACATTCAAATGTTTGATACAGAGAAATGGAGGCTGCTGACTGAATCATTCGGATTAATCTTCAACTTGTTTCCTTTCCAGATAAATGTCTATTAGGTATAAATACAAATTATATATGTTTATTAGTGTAACATTTTCTTACATGTATCAGCAACTCAAACATCCTATATCTAGCAATATTAATAATATCCTGATTTGTAGTTTTAAAATTCACTATGGTTTTTGATTTTTAAAATGCCTAGGCATTTGATTGTGCGGGTCATAAAAAATTACAGATAACATTGCAAAGAATGGGAATTATAGAACACTTCATTGCACTCATGAGGAAACTGTATATAGACCAAGAGGCTGTTGTTTAAGCAGAACAAGGGGATACTGCACGGTTTAAAATCAGAAAGGGTTGTATCCTTTCACTATTGTATTCAATCTGTATGCTGAGCAAATAATCCATGAAGCTGGACTATAGAAGAGCGTGGCATCAGAATTAGAGGAAGAATCATTAACAACGTGAGATATGCAGATGACACAACCTTGCTCGCTGACAGTGAAGACTAGTTGAAGCACTTACTGATGAAAATCAAAGACTACAGTCTTCAGGGGAGCTCTGGTAGCACAGTGGCTAAGGCACTTGACCGCTAACCAGAAGGCTGACGGTTCAGACTCACCAGCCACTCCTCAGAAGGAAGATGGGGCAATCTACTTCCATAGTGGTACTGCCTCGGAAACCCAAGGAGGGGTCGCTATGAATCAGGTCCGACTCAACAGCACGTAACAACAACAACAACATGGTCTTCGGTATGGATTACACCTCAACATAAAGAAAACTGAAATCCTCACAATTAGACCAAGAAGCAACATATGAAAATGGAAAAAATACTGAAGTTGCCAGGAATTTCATTTACTTGGACCCAGTCAACACCCATAGAAGCAGTAGTCAGGAAATCAGATGTCATATTGCACTGGGCAAATCTGCAAAAGACCTGTATAAAGAAGACTGGGCAATCACTTCCATAGTGATACTGCCTCGGAGACCCAAGGAGGGGTCACTAAGAGTCAGATCTGACTCCACAGCACTGAGTGTGGTTTGGTTTCTGGATAAAGTGTTAAGAAGGAAAGATGTCACTTTGAAGACTAAGGTGTGCCTGACCCAAGCCATGATATTTTCAATCACTGCATATGCAGGTGAAAGCTGGACAGTGAATAAGGAAGACCAAGAAGAGCTGATGCCTTTGAATCATGATGTTGGCGAATAATACTGAAAACACCGTGGGCCACGAGAAGAACGAACAAATCTGTCCCAGGAGAAGTGCAGCCAGGACTGTCCTTGGAAGCGAGGATGGTCAGACTTTGTCTCACCTACTCTGGTCATGCTGTCAGATGGGACCATTCATTAAAGAAGGGTATCATGTGTGGTAAAGTAGGGGGTCAGTGAAACAAGGGAAGACCATCAATGAGATGGATGGACACAGTGGCTGCAGTGATGGACTCAAGTATAGCAAGGACTGTGAAGAGGTGCAGGACCGGGCAGTGTTTCATTCTGTTGTCCACAGGGGCGCTATGACTCAGAGGTGACTCAACAGCACCTAATAACAACAACAGAGTGTCTGTGGTATTCTTCATAACCAAGGAAAAACCAAACTCACTGCCATCAAGTCGGATCCGACTCATGGAGAAACCCCCTTGGGTTTCCGAGGCGGTATCACTACGGAAGTAGATTGCCTAACCTCCCTTCCAAGTATTCTTCATAGGCCACTGAATAGTTCCTAAAGGTCAATGGGTTTGAACCCCCCTAGCAGCTCTATGGGAAAGACATGGTGATCTGCTTCTGTAAAGATTACACCCTAGAAAACAGGCAGTTCTACTCCATCATATGAAGTTGCTGTGAGCTAAAATAGACTCAATGGCACCTAACAACAATCCACAGAGGAACGTCATTCTGGTGGCGAAGTGCCTAAGGCATCTGACTGCTAACCAGAAGGCTGGCGGTTCAAACCCCCCAGCCACTCCTCGGAAGGAAGGTTGGGCAATCTACTTCTGTAGTGATACTGCCTCGGAAACCCAAGGAGGGGTTGCTGTGAGTTGGATCCGACTGGATAGCAAACACAACAAATAAACCACCTATTAAGAAAGCTGCTAGTATTTGGACAGCTATCCAAAATGAGGATATTTTATACATTATCTAAACAAGAAAGCAGCTTTGCAAGAAGAAATACCACACTGAACTCATTGCCACTGAGTCGGTTCCAACTCACGCCAACCCTACTGAATAGAATAAAACTGCCCCATAAGGTTTTCCAAGGCTATAAATCTTTACAGAAGCAGAATGTCACATCTTTCTTCCTCAGAGTGGCTGGTAGGTCCCAACCCCCAACCTTCTGGTCAGCAGCCGAGTGCTTTGAACCCTGAGGGCCAGTCCTCTTTAAGTTGGATGTAACTGGAATACTCCTTGGTAAGGATGGTCAGCCCTGATCGTGCTTACTTCGGATACGTCATCAAGAAAGACCAATTATTAGAAAAGGACATAGTACATGGCAGAGAGTCAGTAAAAACGAGGAGAATCTTCAATGGGATGATAGTAACAATGGGCTCAAACATATTAAACATCATGGAGACAGTGCAGGACTGGGCAGTGTTTCACTCTGTTGTATGTAAGGTCACCATGAGTCAGAGCTGACTCGGGGACAACTAACAATAACAACATAAACTAATGTGGCTCCAGGCTTAAAGAAGTGCATTCACAGAAAATGTCACCTTTTATGGAAAGGTTTTACTTTATTTTGTAAAAAGTAATTTTTTGAGGATATTTTATTCTTTCCAAGTAATGTAAAGACAGTGATAAACATCTGAGTAAAACGTGCCCTACTTTATGAACTTACTTCTAACACACTGAAGGCATACTATTCACTGACGGTAGACATATGTGATCCAATTAGAAAACATGAAATATAAGAGGAAACACAACTGAACAACTGTGGAAAAATAGAGGGTTAATCAAAATATTCTGCTTAAAAATATTAAATTCAAGTTAGGTGGAAATTTTATGCATAAAAAACCACAAGAGTGACTTGTCCATAGTCATCTCTGAAAAACCAATATTAACCTTGGTTAAAAAGTTAAACTTTTTAACTTCTCCTTTTCAAAATACTTTCAAAACTTAACTACTCAAACTCAAATATTTTAACAATTTATGCCAGACACGTAGTTCTTATTCCAAGAAATCTTCCTGTGATGTATAAACAAATCAATTAATGGAAAATAGTTTACAATTTTTAAAAAAGGGGGGAAAAAAAGCTGATCTAGAAAAAAAAGTAGTTCAACTGAGTCAGCATGATCTCAAATTACTGTCATTTCCCCACTGAGAGCAACTTTGATGTACATTTTCTCTCTCAAATCTCTCTTGGCTGGCAGAGTACAGGGGTGCACTAATATCACCCTCTCTCCGCTTGACCAGACAGGAATATCTAAGCCCAAACGTCACTCCTATTCCCAGGCTACAATAAGTCACATTATAAAAGTGCCTAGAGTCTATCATAATTTCAGTAGCAAAGTAGACAACTTCTCTAGTGATTATTTTGCTACACTGTTGCCTTAATACTAATTTAAAAAAAAAAAAATTTAAAACTGTGAAATTCAAACTGTCCCTAGACGAGTAATCATTTAAAAGTTGGGGAAATGGGACATAAATGTAGCCCCAGCCACGTAAACGCTCCACTCCTACTACTTCACACGAGTCATTTTTCTCATAATTATCCTAAATACAAATCTTGACTGTTCAAGAGACAGTCACGTATGTGTTTCAAACGCATCAGAAGCTCTGGCAGACACCCAACAGTCCTCCGCTCTCAGTGACTTTCGTCCTTCCCGTTTTCGGTCCACACACCCACGGCGCTGGAAGCTTTGGGAGCAGGCAACTCCGGGGAGTGGGTCTGCTTCACTGCCGCCGAGGTGGGCGGAGAAGGCACGGCGGCACACAGAGGAGTCCGCTTCAGTTTGATTACTCGGTTGGGTGTAGGCTTCTTGTCAGAGAGTAGAAGCTTTGCTGGAGGTGGGTGTGCAGCCCCATTTTCAGCACTCCTGGTTCCCCAGGCAGCCGGGGGCTCCCGGCATGCCCTTGCCCCCACAGCGGGCTCAGCTTTTGAAGGTGCAGGGCTGCTGTGAGGCCGGTTTGCCAAGGTCTGGGGAGCCCTGGCTGGAGACACCCTGACTGAAGCTGAGTTCTTGACTTTGATCTGGGTGCTTGTGGAAGGGCCCAAATACCTTACTGGCTTAGGACCAGTCTTGCAGTTCACGCTTTCTTCCTCTTCGTTGAAAGTCACCAGTCGCCTGTAAATACAGAAGCATGTCATCTTCAGCTTCAGTGGAAGCTAAAACTAATGGAAACAGCACAAAAGTTTACCTTCAGAATTAGCAAAAAGGTTTTTCAAGAGAGTTAAAGAGTCAAAAGGTTTACAGGTATCAAAATACCTCATCTTGCATTCACAACCAAAGTCAATACATAAATTAGCACGTTTCTCCTAAATCTGCCATCTTAAAAACCACATACAGTGTTAATACTCACAACAGGTTACAACATGGAGAGTGTTACATGACATTCACTCTGTTCATAAGGGTCCTACAGTGATCCACGGGATAATCAGGAATATCCCAGTTATTTTTCCCAGCTCAGTAATTTCGAAAGATTTACTGAGGGGAAGAAAAGGGTTTCACAGTCAAATAAATTTTATGAAATATATTTTTTGCATATTTCGCTCTCCTCTCGGAAGTTCATAATCCACATTAACAAATTACAGGTTCTGACAAGGCCTACAGTAAAGAAACCTGCTTACCTGTGTTGGATCTGTTACTTCCCAGTGATGCTGTTAAGTAGACTACCTTTGACATCCTGTAAAATTAGCATTCTGTGTAACACATCTTGGAAACTGCCAGAATGACTAAACCCATGACGTGGTTAGCTGCCTTTTGAACTTGAGAAGTGTTGGACAAACTTTTCAAAGATTCCTGAACTAGTTTATCATTCACTCTAAAAAGTCTAAGGATGAACACTTAAAATTCAAAACTGCCAAACCCATGGTCAAAACCAGAATCTTGCTCCTTCCACTGCTTCTTGAAAACCACCTCCTGGCTGTGACTATAAACCAGTCCTCCAAGTCTTCTCCCTCTCACACAGCACCACTGTTTCTCAGAAGTGACTACAACATGTAGTGAATGAACTTGATGCTTGGAGATGCGATCATAATCGCCCAGTTCTTTGAGAATCACTATATGAGGCAAAAGGAGGCCTGGTAAGTGCAGGAGTTAATCACTCAGTTGCTGAATGAAAAGCTGGTGATTCAAATCCACCGAGCAGCTTTGTGGGTGAAACACTCAGCAATCTGCTCCCATCAAGATGACAGACTAGCAAACCCTGTGGGGTAGGTCTGTCCTCGCACGTGCAGCTGCTACGAGTCAACTGAACTCAAATGAACTCAAAGGCACCCAACAACAACACGCGAGGCAAAGAATGTGATAATAATATATTCAAAACCCTGTAACTCTACAGGAGTCCTGGAGTGGTATAAACAGTTGGCACACTCAGCTGCTAACTGAAAGGCTGGAGGTCCAAGGTTACCCAGACACCTTGATGACCTGCTTCTGAAAAATGAGCCAGTAAAGCCCTGGGAAACAAAATTCTGCTGACACAAATGGAACTGCTCTGAGTCAGAACTGACTTGATGGCATCTGTTTATTTACTTTTTTTTAAACTCTACTATTGCTGTTATGTGCCGTCGAGTCGGACCCAACTCATAGCAACTCCTCCTTGGGTTTCTGAAGTGGTATCACTATGGAAGAACATTGCCCAACCTTCCTTCCGAGGAGTGCCTGGTAGGTTTGAACTACCAGCCTTCTGGTTAGCAGTCAAGTGCCTCAGCTACCAGAGCTCCACTAGTCATAATTAAATTTTCTCTGATGAGTCAAATGGCACTTTGGGATCTCACAAATGTTTCTACATTGCCATTATCATTATCATTTTGATACATTAAAAAATGATGACTAACAGCTTCCCAGAGGAAGGACGACTAATTCAGGCATGCGTCTCCATATAATCATTCCCGCTCACTTTCTTGTCTGCCCACATCTTCCTGTGGACTCTAGGCCAGGCTTCCTCCACTACTGGCACTACGGACATTTTGGGCCAGTTCACCTTTTGTTGTGGGGGGCTGCCCTGTGCACTGTAGGAGGTTTAGTAGCATCCCCTGGCCCCGACCCACTAGATGCCAGTAGTAAGCCCTTTCCCACCTGTGATAACCAAAAATTTCTCCAGACATTAAATATTCCCTGGAGACAAAACCACTAACAGTTGAGAATCACTGCTCTAGACTCAAATAATACTTGCTAACTGTAGGTTCAAAAGGCAAAATAAATCATGATAATAACATTAGGGCCTTAAATTACAAGATGTGCTTTGACAAGAGATGATGAACTACTAAAACCCTCAATAAATTCTGGATTTCTGTAACAGATCCAGAGACTGAAAGTAAGAAAGTAGTATGAAATTCCCTTAGGGCACTGAATAAAATTCTAGAATAGGTGATAAAGAAATCAGAACATCTAAAGGTCATGACTACTCAGAAACTAAAATATCCAGACACTGGAAAAAAAAAAAAAATATATATATATATATATTATTTTAAATGTGTAAGACACAGAGTGGAGTGAATTTAATGTGAATAATTTAATGAAACACACAAGAAAATACTATTAAATAAAAGGGGGGACAGTACCATTCATGGCAATAGTAGGAAAAAAGGAAATCAGAATTGTTGTTGTTAGGTGCTATGATACTTGGAGCTGTGTGTCAAATGGCTGGACCACAATTCTGTGTGGTTTAAGCAGTTGTGATGTGGTTATTCCCATTATGGAATCATTAATGGGATCAGATGAATATGTTTTGAGCAGCCAATCCATTGAAAGGAAGTTTCCCTAGGGTTGGGCCTGCTTCCAGTATATTTATGGACATCCTGGGAAAAGAGACACTCTTCTGTGGATCGGGATTCTGTTGTGCTGCCTACAAACGTCCGTGAGCGAACAATCCACCATATGGCCTGCAGATCTTGGATTCATCATACGTTGGAGTCAACAGCCAGTATACTGCCTTACAACCTCGAGTTCCTCGGCCCCTGCAGCTGCGTGAGTCGGGAAAAGCCTCCAGCTTGATGTCTGATCCAAGAACTTTGGACTTGCCAGCTTCTATAAGTGTGTGAGCCATTTTCCTAAGATAACTTTCTCTTTTTCTCTCTCTATATAAGCTTTACTGGTTTTGTTTCTCTAGAGAACCCAGTCTACCACAGGTGCCGTCAAGTCAGCTCTGACTCATAACGATCCCATGTACAACCAAACAAAACACTGCCTGGTCGTGTGCCAGCCTCACACTTCTTGCTGTACTTGAGCCCATCGTTGCAGCCACTTGTCAATCCATCTCATTGAGGGCCTTCCCATTTTTTGCTGACCCTCCAATTTACCATGATCCTTCTCCAGAGAACGATCCCTTCTGACAACATGACCAAAGTAGGTGAGACCAAGTCTGAACAGTCTCACTTCCAAGGAGCATTACGGCTCCACTTCTTCCAGGGCAGATTTGTTCATTCTTCTCACAGTCCATGGTACTTTCAGCATTCTTTGCCAACACCACAGCAGAAAAGCATCAACTCTTCTTCAGTCTTCCTCACTATATCCAGGTCTCACATGCATATGAGGCAATTAAAAATACCATGGCTTGGGCTAGGTACACCTTAGTCTTCTAAGTGACATCTTTGCTTCTTCACACTTTATAGAGGTCTTTTGCAGCAGCTTTGCCCAGTGCAATCTATGTCTGATTTCCTGACTGCTGCTTCCATGTTGTTGTTGTTGTTGTTATTTGCCATCGAGTCAGACCCAACTCATAGCGACCCATCCTTGGGTTTCTGAGGCAGTATCACTAAGAAAATAGATTGCCCAACCTTCCTTCTGAAGAGTGGCTGGTGGGTTTGAACCGCCAGCCTTCTGGTTAGCAGTCAAGTGCTTTAGGCACTACGCTACCAGAGCTCCTTCCACGGGTGTTGGTAATTCGGAATAAATAACAATAAATTTCAAATATTAAGTCTAAATAAATTCTTTGACTGTTGCCAGTGAAGACTGGGATTTCCCCTTTGTAGGGAGAAAATTCCTTATCACAGAATTTCTATTCTCCCAGTAAGAACATACTACAGCTTTAGAAAGTCACTCCCACTCTTCATATAGTTTTGTTAACTTTGCATTTATCGAGATATATATTTTGATGGTCAGGCAGAATATGCATCTAGATGATTAATAAACGTAATGAGATCAAGAACCATTATTCCTCCCCTCCTCACAAAAGGCAGTAAAAATACAGGTCACAGATAAAAAAGCAAATAATCAACAGTGCACAGATGACCTTTTTCGAATTGGGGCCATGTGTCGCAGGCTTCCAAGCAGAGGCTGTTCTTCCAGCGTCCAGCACTCTATCAGCTCGCGTGGTATCCGCCAGTAGCTAACACCTGGGAGACAAGAAATGACACAGATAGTCCCCTGGACACAAACGTCTTACAGACTATTTGGACTTGCCCTTCAACATTTTGTAAATTTGCCCTCACTTTGAAATGAATGAACGTCAACCCCTACTGGCAACAAATTCTTCATCACAATCACCTTCACCTGCTGCACATGCAGCTTTTAAATCACTGAAAAGGCTTGGAGCGTTTTCTTGCACAAAAACCAAAACTAAACCCAATCCACTGCCATCGAGTCAATTCCAACTCATAGCTACCCTATAAGACAGAGCAGAACTGTCCCATAGAGTTTCCAAGGCTGTAAATCTTTACAGAAGCAGACCGCTACATCTTTCTCCCAAGGAGTAGCCGCTAGGTTCAAACCATCGACCTTTTGATTATAGCAGCTGAGTGCTTTAACCACTACAGCACCAGGGCTCCTTTCTTACACTACTACTTCTTACACTAAAGTGAGGCTAAATGAAAAACGTATGCACATGTTCCAATATACCTACAAGTTCAACTTAAAGACACACTTAAAAATGAATCTTGTTCATAACCCAAGGACTGCCTGTAGTTAAGAGTACCACTGTCCACTGCAAAATGTTCATCAACATTTCATCAATTTTATGAAATGTTTCATAAAAGACTGGGCAGAGTTTGAGGTCCACACCTCCCATATGACAAACAGGAAGTAGTCACTAAGTGGCAGTGCAGTCAAGGAGCACTGCTCACGACCTGGGTCAAGGTGGAGCTGGGCACCCGCTCCAGCTCTGCCACTTATTAGCTGAGAAAATCCAGCAGGTCATCATATCTGCCCTGGGCATCAGTGTGCTGGGTGACAGCATAGGTTCCAGGGCCAAGACAGCCTGAGTCCAAATCCTGCTTCTGTCATTCACATCGTATGACCTTAGCAAAGTTACGTGACCTTACTTCACCCAAATTTTCTCATCCCTGAGACGATGACAATAATAGTACATACCTTGCAGGACGGTTGTGAGGATGTAATGAGTTATTAAGTGTTAGAACAGGCCCCAACACAGACTGAGCACTCAATAAACGTTAATGCCTTTACTATAAGCCTTAATGCTAGAAGTGGTACAGTGAAGCTTGGGAGAGCCGGCACTCGATGGGACTGCCTTGTTTTCCATCAACTCACAAGTTTTCCACCTTTGATGGGGTTCAGTCTTACCACTTTTCCATTGGCCATTTTAGTAGATGGAGAAAGTATTAAAGGAGAAAAGACTGAAGTTGTCAAAGACTTCATATCACTTGGTTCTATACTCAATGCCAATGGAAGCAGCAGTCAAGACATCAAAAGATGTACTGCATTGGGCAAATCTATTGCAAAAGACCTCTTCCAAGTGCTGAAGAGCAAAGATACCTCCTGGAAGACTAAGATGCACCTAACCTAAGCCATGGTATTTTCAATCGCCTCATATGTGTGTGAGAGCTGGACAATGAATAAGGAAGACCAAAGAAGAGTTGATGCTCTTGAGTTGTGGTGTTGGTGAAGAATACTGAAAGTACCATGGACTACTAAAAGAACTAACAACTTATCTTGGAAGAAGTGCAGCCAGAATGCTCCTTGGAAGCGAGAATGGCCAGACTTCATCTCACCTACTTTGGTCACGCTGTCAGAAGGGACCGTTCTCTGGAGAAGGACGTCATGCTTGGTAAAGTGGAGGGTCAACGAAAAAGGGGAAGGCCCTCAACAAGATAGACTGACACAGTGGCTGCAATGATGGGCTCAGGTATAGTAGAGATCATGAGGCTGGCACAGGACTGGGCAGTGTTTTGTTCTGTTATACATAAAGTCTGTTATACATATGAGTCAGAGATGACTTGACAGCACATAACAACAATAACATTTTAGTGGAAATATTTGAGTTTTCCTTCTCTGATAGGTGTTCTTGCCTTACACAGGTTCTGGCTTTCACAGGTTTTACTATAGTAGTATTGTACAATGGGGCTTACAGTAACACCCTACCTACCTCAATGGGTTACTATGACTATCTAATCAGGCAACTGTTACCCACCACTCCATAAATAGCAACTGCTATGCAAATATGAGCTATCACTACCTTGTATGCACCTTTTCAAATGAAAACTAATAATCTGATTTTTAAATCTGGTATGTTTCTGATTAAAAGCTGAAAAATATAGCCTATGAACCTTGAAAAAATTATGCCAAGTGAAAGAAGTCAGACACAAAAGGTCACATGCTGTATGATTCTATTTGGAAGAAATATCCAGAGTAAGTAAACCCATGGAGATGAAAACCAGACTGGTGGCTGCCAAGGGCTGCGGGGAGGGGGCAGCAGGAGTTAACTGCTTCACTGGCATAGGGTTTCCTTTTGGGGTGATGAAAGTGTCTTGGAACTAGAGGTGATGACTGCATAACATTGTGAATGTATTAAAGGCCAGTGAGGTGTTCACTTTAAAGTGCTTAAAATTTTATGTGAATTACACCTCAATTAAAAAAAACATAAAAAATTATATGGAGATATATGTTCTTTTGATTGCGGAGCAGTATTCCATTATACGGATATACTGCAGTTTGTTTAAATAACTTTCATTTTTTCCTGCCTACCAAGTACAGGTAGTCCCTGACTTATGATGGGTTCCCTTCCAACAACTCCATCTTAAGTCAGTTCTGACATGTCATATACCTAATTTCTTTTTAGTTTTCATTATTATTGCCTTTTATTATCAGTTTGCTTACAAATCCAGTAGTTTCAAACAGTAAATCATAAAACTGAACATCTGCACATGAACATCTGAGAATAACATCAGTAAATTATACACGGCAATATATTACTAACAGTAAGATGTAAAAAATTTTAAAAAGGATGGTTTTAAGTATGGTTTGTCATAATTCAAATATGTCACAAGTCAGAGACTACCTGTAATTCATATTTATTGTACAAAACCTGGAGATACAGAAAAGAATAAGTCAGAAAATCAAAATCACTCTAATCCTATAACACAGCTCATGACATTTTGATGCATTTTATTCCAGTCTTTTTTGTTGATATGATATGCACATAATTTAAAACACTTTATATTTAATTGTTGCCTACTTTTTTTTGATCACTTCTTATTTTATCATGGGCATTATCAAGTTATTCAAGAATAATTTTAGGAGTTCTGGTGGTATAATGCCTAAGGCATTTGACTGCTAACCAGAAGGCTGGCAGTTCAAACCCACCAGCTACTCCTCGGAAAGAAGGTTGGGCAACCTACTTCCATAGTGAGACTGCCTCAGAAACCCAAGGAGGGGTCACTATGAGTTATTCTATTCCATTGTGTGGATATACCAAAACATATTTAATCCTCTAAATGTCTGTTAGTAGACATATAGATTGTTTTTATTTTTCCTATTATGAATAAAATGTCACTGAATGTCTCTATTCATAAGCCTTTGTCTGGATTTGATTATGTCCTTAAGAGAAATTCCTAGAAGCAGAATTATGGGGTCAGAGAATATGAATAAATTTGATGCTACTGATGTGTACTGACAAATTATTTCACTTCTGCCAGGAATACATGAGAGAACTTTACTAATTTGGCTTGTAAAAAACAGTTCCCACTCAATTTCTATTTCTTCATAAATAATGAGGTTGGACCTCCAAATTTTTATTTCCTTTTCTTGAATTTTATGCACTTTTCCTATATTTTTGGTAGTTGATTTCCTAACAACTTGAATAAACCCTCTCTATATTAAGGATATTAACTTCTTGTCCAGTTAGTGTTTTTCATTACTCTTTTAATTTGATTTATAGTTTTAAAAACTATTTGAAAGTTGGGACTCCATTCAGCTTTCTATACTGTGTAATGCTGATGGTTTCCCTCATCCTGGATGACTGTCTTTGTTTTGTCTTTGTCTAAGCCTTAATGAAAGGGTCTCTATGGAAATATATATATATATGTATATATATATTTTAAAGTTCTAGACAGCTTAAATACTATATAATCAAAATTTTTAGGTTTATAATGTTTCCTTACTAAGAAATCAATTACTTGATTAAATTTCCCTATAGCTTATTAGCGGGAGCTCTGGTAGCATAGTGGCTAAGACACTTGCCTGCTAACTAGATGGCTGGCAGTTCAAACCCACCAGCCACTCCTCAGAAGGAAGGTTGGGCAATCCTACTTCCGTAGTGATACTGCCTCAGAAACCCAAGGAGGGGTCGCTATGAGTCGGGGCCGACTCAACGGCACATAACAACAATAACAACATAGCTTATTAGCTTCTTTTTTCCATTCATAAATCCACCTGGAATTATTTTCATAAATGGTGTGAAGTTAACATTCTGTTTTCCCTCCCATGTAGGTAGTATATTTCTCAATTGCTTATTAAATGACTTGCCCCTTTTACACTGATAATTAATACTTTATTACACTACTTTTATTCTTACAACTTTATTGGGGCCTACTCTTGATCTCCGTATCCATTCTTGTACCAATAACACACAGTTTTTATTATTATAGCTATATGGTATTTTTACTTATCAAACAGAACTAGACTCATGCCCCTAATTACCTCTATTTGCCAAAATGTTCTTGGCTATTTTATCTGTTTATTCTTCCAGAGGAATTTTAGAATCATTTCCTCAAGATTCTCAGAGTTCCACTGAGGTTCTGGTATAGAAAAAGGAGCTGTGGTGGCACAGCGGTTAAGGCATTCGGCTTACAACCAAAAGGTTGGCAACATAAACCTACCAGCTACTCTGTGGAAGAAAGATAAGGCAGTCTGCTTCCATCAAGATTTACAGCCTTGGAAACTCGGTCCTAACGGGTTGCCATGAGTCTGAATCAACTCAACGCAGTGGCTTTATGTTATAGGAAACCTCTACTTTAACCCATCAACAACAACATGAGAAGAACTGACACTTTTTCAATGTTCAGATTCCCCACTCAGGAATGGTATGTCTCACCATTAGCTTTATGGCTTCTTTCTTACAGACAGATGGATGCACAGAAGGGAAGAAAGATGAACAGACAGACACAATTTTGTAGTTTTCTTCAAAAAACACTCAAATATTTCTTAGTAGGGTAGCCCTAGTTATTTTATATTTTTGGTTATTGCTATCATGAATGGGATTTTCACCTACAATTTCTAATTGATTTATCTATGCAGACTACTGATCTTTGCATACTTACATCCTGCTAGTCTACTAAACTCATCATTTAAAATATTTTTAGTTGATCATCTTAGTTTTCTGAAAAGACACAGTATCCTCAAATAAAACGACTCTATCTTCCCCCATCTAACAGTTCTTTCTCTGACTTTTGTTTCTTGTCTTACGGCTTTCCACAGACCTTCCAGGACTTTGTTAAATAACAATGATGCTCTATCACCTGCTTCCTAAAAGGTCAGTCAGTTGCATGTTTTGTAAGCCTGTAATCCCAGTTCTCCTCTACAGCTTCCCAAGTCAGTGGAGGAAGAAGCCAAGCTCTCAAGGGTTCCTGGGCATCCTGTCAGCCAAAGGCACAAAAGGAGACACAAAGACCACCACGGGGTTTGTCTTCCCCCTTGAGCACAAGAGTCTTAAAGTAAATTAATCTGAAATAATAAGCTTAAAGAGAAAAATGCTTCTTTCATTATTCTACTTATCCCTGCCTGCTTGAGGGCTATGATTAGGAAAGGAAAAAGGAGGAAAAGCAAGAAGGCAAAGTTGAAGAAAGGCAAAGGAGCTAGTGCCAGCATCCCGCCTGCAGAAGGACTAGCTGGTGTGGAGTTCAGAAAAGGCTCTTTCCTCTGAGCTCCTCTCTTCTTTTATTTACTCAGATGTGACTTGCACTATCTCTATAAGCTTTTTTTTTTTAAAAAATTTCTATTGTGATTTGGGTGAAAGTTTATAGAGCAATTTCATTTTCCATACTGCAGTTCATACACATTTTGTCTTGTGACATTGACTCCTATTTTCCACAATGTAACAGCTCCCCTCCCACTTCCTCCCCATAGTGACCTCTTCCCTGTGTCCTTCCCTCCCGTGCACTCCTGTCCCGGAGCAGTCTCCCTGTGTATACACTGCCTTTCTATTCGCCCATGTTTGACCTCTCCAAGGAGTGAGTGTATCCATTGATGCAAATGCTTAGCCCAGATGCCAGTCTTTTATTTGGCTGGAAGCCACAGGAGTGAGTTCAATTCCAGACCTGAAGGGCAGCTAGGGACCAGTCTCAGGGGTCACACCAGGCTCTATCAGACCAGTAAACCTGGTTTCTTTTTTGTAATTTTGAATTTTGTTCCACATTACTCTCCCACTCTATCCATCTATCCAGCATCTCCTACAGAGATCCCCCTCCAAATGGTTGACAGTGGTAGCTGGGCACCATCTAGTTATTCTGGTCTCATGGTCATATAGGCTGAGGATCATATGTTCTACCAGTCCCTTGGACTAATTGTTTCCATGCATCTTGGTTTTCTTTATTTGTCTTTGCTCTGGACGAGGAGAGACTCATTGTTGCACCTAGATGGCTGCTTGCAAGCTTTTAAGATCCCAGTAAGTAAGATGTGGAACCATGTTTTGTGTAGTATGTTATGCCAATTGAGCTTGATGTCCCTGGGACCATGGTCCCGAGCCCACAGGTCCAACTACTCACTTCCTCTGAGTAGCTGGCTGTGGCCAAGAAGTGACTACAACCTTGTCCCTTGGCAGCTCTACTATATACCTGGACATTTTTACAGAATATACAAATATACTTGTAGAAACACTGTCTGCCAACCCTATACATAGTCATGGGCACACTCTCCCCTGCCCAGACATACCTGATCATTCAGGCTGTCCACCCATCTAGCCACCCGTAGATCAATGTTTGCCATCACTGACAACACAGTACTGTACGTGCAAAAGGATCATTTTGTTGTCTCTATCTCCTATGCACCTCTCTGTCTTCTTCTTTCTCAAGGCCACTGTGTTGATCACTCACATTTGGTGCACTGCCCTTCCTTTCACCCAAATCAATACTTGTCTCTACCTATTTAACAGTGTTCCCTTCCCTCTTCTCCCACCCCTGGTAACCAACAAAGAAAGTTTCCTTCATATATATTAACCTTTCCTTTACTTTTCACAATAGTGGACTATACAATATTTGTCCTTCTGTGATTGATTTATTTCACTCAGCATAATGTCCTCCAAGTTCATCCACGTTATGTGATTTTGCTGATTCCACGTTATTCTTTAGGGTTGTATAGTATTCCATTTTGTGTACCATAGTTTGGTTATCTATTCTTCTGTTGATGGGCACCTAGGTTGTTTCCATCTTTTTGCTATTGTAAACAATGCTGCGATGAACATGGATTTGTCTATATCTGTTTTTGTCCTGGCTCTCACTTCTTTAGGATATATACCTACTAATGGGATTGCTGCATCAAATGGTATTTCTAATTCTAACTTTTTAAGGAATTGCCATATTGCTTTCCAAAGTGGTTTCTTTCTAGAAGCTTTTAAGATCATTTGTGAACTGGGATGTGTCTTATTTATCATTGGACCCAATTTTAAGACTTCTAGCTAATAGACACTCAATATAAGTTTGTTAATGAAGGGGGGAAAAAACAAAACTCAGGCATAGAACAATTACTCTTGTGATCCCTAAGCAAGTGATGATGCCTCTCTGAGACTCAGTTTCCCCATCTATAAAATGGGAATGGCAAGTAACTTACAGGGTGCTTTAGGACTAAGAGATACTGAATGTAAACCACTTATCACACTGGATATTAAAGGGCCTTATTATCAACTGTGACAAAAGCAGCTTTATAAAAATGATCTGCTTTCAACATGGACATCTAAAGGCTATTTTAACTGTTTTATAAAGGCTTTTTAGATGTCTTCTCCAGGACATTCTTATTTTTTTTCTGTTTTCTTAAGCATGTATTTATGCTTAATTTAGAAGTATACTTCCTAGGACAATGCTAGGTATATAGTAGGTGGTATGTTTAATTGAATCAAGCTCTTATTTAATTGGACTAGATAAGTATAACTTCAGGTTGTTGAATTATAAACTATTAATATCTAGCAACTCATGGGTTTAAAGATTTGAAAGTAAAGCTGCTTCAGTGTTACCATAAAGTCACAAACATCTTCACCCAGACAAACACACAAAAATACTTTTTTAAAAAAAAAAAAAGAGTATTTGCACTTGTTTTCTCTTACGAAGAAACAAGCTACCTGTTCCCATGGAAAAAAAACTGAACTGTACCTTTTCCTTCCCATGTATCAAAGGCATCCATCATTTTCTTCAATTCTGCTACTGAGTAGTAACTCCAGATGTACTGAACGTTATTTCCCGCCTCTCTAGAAATATTGCAGAAAGTAATGAAAATACACTACTTAGGTATAAGTGTGTGTGTGCATATATACACACAGCTAATAGACACTCAATAAGTGCTTTCTAATTAAAGAAAAAAGATACATAGGCATTGAACAGTTGTTCTTCTGTGACCCTTAAGCATACATACATATAAAATATATACAAACTTACAGTTGATCTCTTTTTAAGACTGTGGTAAAATATATTCAATCCACAATGTAGACTATAGAGACAAATCAATGCATCTTTAAAATCAAATCACCTAAACTCTAGTAAAGTTAGAAAAGATTCAACTTTGACTAAAACTTTCCTAGCACTATCCCAGGCACTATCTATCTTATACAGAAGACTCCTTGCCTGCAAAGAATTTAGAAACTAATCACATATTTAATCATCTAAAAAGCAAGATTATGTGGTCATGAAGAAACCCTTCATGGTTAAAACATTTTGCTTCTAAAAAGGTGGTAGTTAGAACCCACTAGCCATTCCACAAGAGATATGTGGCAGTCTGCGTCAGTCAAGATTCACAGCCTGGGAGACGCTATGAGGCAGTTCTACTCTGTCCTTTAGGGTTACTATGACTCAGAATTGACTCAAAGGCAATGGAGTTTCTGGGGCTTTTCGTGTTTGTGTATTAGTTGCTAATATGTGATACAATCCAATCTCCCAGAGAATTTTTTCAAAAGTTTGCTAAGTGAATTGACCAGTGAAAGAAAGATTACAGGGAAAGCATTAAGAAGTGACACTTAGGAATTTAACATGCTCAAGTTAGAGAATTTTAAAGTTGGAAGGGATAAGGAAGTCCTTCATTATTCACACTAGATGAGCTGCCCTGCTTTTAGGATTGGACTGTGGTGTAAGACAGACAAGACTATGGCTTTTCTTCTCTTTATTAAAGCCCCAGGGGATTCTGATGTACAAGCCCAGTTCCTATCTACCACAGTGCACCATTTAGATGGCCTATAGTTCACATACATTAGAAACTTCCCATGAAACAGGCCTTTCTCCTTAGCTACTGGGGCTTCCTCTTGTCTGCTGAGAGGTGTTCATGGTCTTCTCTAACCCAAAAAACCAAACCCACTGCCTTCAAGTTGATTTCAACTCACAGCAGCCCTATACAACACAGTAGAACTGCTCCTTAAGGTTTCCAGGGCTATATATCTTTATGGAAGCACACTGACACATCTTTCTCCCACAGAGCAGCTGGTGGGTTTGAACCACCAACCTGACCTTTTGGTTAGCAGCCCAATGCTTTAACCACAGCACATATTCCATTCAATAACACCTCTTAGATAAAATCAAGACTTTCCTTGTTTTTCCATATTTAAATGTGGACGTACCTTTTAAAAATGCTTTTACTATGAATTCTTCCTCCCAGCTGTTTATCAATAGCATCTGTTCCATCAGTTTTTGTAGCATACACACCAATAATTCTATTCTCACAGCTTGCTCCAGATGTGTTAAGATAGTGTAGAACCCAAACTGTTGGTTTATTGCAAACTAAGCCATATGAATCACAGAAGTCTGTTAAAGCCTGGAGCAGAAAAATATATGAAATTTGAATTTAATTCCAAAGTGAAAATGAATTTGCTCTAATACTGTCATGGTAAAGCTACAACTTCAGCTGGTCATAAGAGAAATAAAAAGATTACGAAGCTCAGCCTAGTCTATTTGTCTTTAAGAGCTAAACATGCATTTATTAAATTTATGAAGGGAAAAATCACCAAAAACCCAACACCTTTTCATCTGGGAATCCTGTTCCACAAGGAAATCCCACTTTACCTTCTCCTCCTTTGGCCTCACTGCCAATGTCATTTCAAATTTTATAATATTCATTTAATAGCTAAAAGTTAAACCTTTTTCCTTTCCCCTCAGAATATTTCCACCAACTTTTTCCACTTGATTCAATCCTCCTTTCACCTCTACTGACCACCCTCATGGTTGTTCCCTATTTTAAATTCCGTATTCTAATTATGGATTAACCAGATGAACTTGTTCTTTTACACTGAAAGATAATGAACCCAGTACTGATGGTCGGAATTCATCTGGCATTTATTCACCTACTCCCTCATTACTTGAATAATAAGGACCTACTACATGCCAAGCACACAGGGCATATACAAGGTCCAGGGCATATAACGGTGAGCAAGAGACAGAACCTCTGTGCTCCTAGAGCTAATAGCTAATAATGCTGCAGATAGACATTAAGTAAACCATCACCACACAGTGTAAGAAGTGCTACCACGTGAGATTACCAGGTGCTGGAGCTGAAGGGCTTTACCCAGTGAAGTAGCAGAGGGCTTCTCTGGGAGAAATGGCATTGCTCCATGAGGACAGGCACTTTTGTCTGTTTTGTTCACTGATGTATCCCAAGTGCCTGGTATAACACCTGACCCAAAGGAAATGTTTAGTATTTACTGACTCAGTGAATGAAAATCGGATCGTAACATGTCTTGCATTTTCATGTTATGTTGTTGTTGTTCTTATGTACTGTCAAGTCGGCCCCAACTCATAGCGACCCCTCCTTGGGTTTCCGAGGCGGTATCACTACAGAAGTAGATTGCCCAACCTTCCTTCCAAGGAGTGGCTGATGGGTTTGAACTGCCAGCCTTCTGGTTAGCAGTCAGATGCCTTAGGCACTACTGCTTTCCAACTCCTGTGTAGGTTTTTTAACTTTACTTGCACAACTATACTATCAATTGCCCAAGGGCAAGGATCACAAGTTGTATTTCTTCCTGTCCCACAGTCCCAAGTACACTGCTACATATAAACAAACATTTGGAATAACTGTGTTGACTGGACAGAATCAATGTGTGCATGCTACATCCCTTTTCTAACACAAACCAGGAATAAGACACTTAACAATTTGGAACTTCAAGAGATGAATGCTAACCTACTCTACCCTTCTACTCAGGCTTTCTCAGCCCCATTGTACAGACATGGCAAACAGCGCCATTAGACGATCACTTAAGAACTGTTTATAAATCACTACAGTAGCAGAACCCCTGTAACCACACCATTTACTAAAAGGGGCCTTGAACTCTTCACGCCACACCCCTAATAACCATGCTGTCAGCCAGCTCTCCTATGACTTCTAATTCAAAGTAATTCAAACTAGTTCAGATCAGTTTTCACTATTAACAATTATCTGGGAAAAATATTTTTCTTAGATGCTCAAAGGTGTTAATAGCAAAATAAATACTTATGAAAAATCACATAATAAAGCTTTTCAAGCCATGTAAAGAACTGCGAAATGTGATTAAAATAGAGGTATCTGAAAAAAAAAAAAACACAGACTTACTCATCTCAATGTGAATTAACCTGTTTTAACGTAGTAACAAATATTACATTTACTAAATTAAGTAAGAGATGTTATGCAGTATTTTATTTATCATAACCATTCACCTTAAAAAATGTCACTTTAGTAAATAAAATAATACAGCTACATCCACATACTACAGTATATTTCTCTTAATTTAAACAGAACTGCAGGAGGAGAAGAGTCCTATTTTAAGAAGGCATCAAAAATGCTGCATTTTCAATGAAGAATATAAACTCAATAAATCTTTGAATTTCAATGTAAAATATTTTTTTCTAGAATGGCGTTTTGGCCTACTGGAAACCAAGTAGCTGTAATTAAAAAATGTGTCTAAAAATTATAAAACCTATTTGGTTTACGTGACAACACAAGCTAGGCAAAACAACACACATTGCTTTGTGCATAATAAATACATATATTTCAAAACTTAAGAAAATGCCAAGACCTTTTTAAGTTCTATATTTGACCTTAAAGAATATGTCTCCATTTCATTGGCCAAGTGGTCAGGCAGGCTGTATGGATAAGGGATCCCAAAGTAATCAGCCTCTTCCTGCAGGGCAGCACGCGTTTGCTCATCAGTGGGAATCTGAACTTCTCCATGAAGATAATCCAAAAGGTATTTAAATAGATGCCCATCACGGTCAATAACACACGCCCCTAGAAAACATTCAGTTCAAAAATAGATGCATATAAACATCAGGACTAATGATGAGATTTGGATAAGTCAGGTTAAATCAGTCTGAGAATCTCAAGACTTACAAAATTCTCCTCCTCACAAAAAAGTAAGTTAATAGATAGTGTTCAAATAGGTTTAGTCAATCAAACTAAACTAGATCTTTGACTCTTTATTTAACAGCAAATTTGATGCACCAGCACCCTCAGCTTACAGACAGGTGATATTCTAATGTATAACTCATGAATGGGTTGTTTGGGAAACTGAGCTATACCTAACACTGCAGGTAAATCTGGATGCAAACGTACGTCACCAGGGTTCCCACGTTTGGTTGTGTAGCTGTGCTCTGCACAGTGGTGCAGGTCAAGGAGAGAAATGGGGCTCACCAAGCCATGCACCCTGCCATGGAACTGTATGTTCCTGAATAGAGGCATGAATTTTTCTAATTGCATAAGGAGATCGTACAGGCTAGTGGCAGGCCTTTGTATTCTTACCCAGCATATAGAAAATGCATTCCAGCTCCCACTTGGAACTTTGGATGCAATGATCATATCCCCACTGTCACAAAAAACTAAACCCATTGCCATCAAGTCCAATTCCAACTCACAGTGACCCTACAGGACAGAACAGAACTGCCCCATAGGACTTCCAAAGAAGTAATCTTTACGGAAGCAGATTCCACATCTTGCTCTGTGGAGCAGCTGGTGGGTTTAAATCACTGAACTTTTGGTTAGCAGCTGAGCGTTCAACCACTGCACCACCAGGGTTCCTTACTGAAGCCACCACAAAAGCCAACGAGACCTCAGACTGCTGTTAGAAAGGAAAGCTGGCCCGTAACCTCTGCCTATGTGGTGTTGGGAGTTTCTCACTAGAGGGGGCATGCAAGGTGCTGATCACTATGCCAGGGTTTGTCTGTTAGGGACACTCCAAACCAGGGTTTCTAGCTCCAGGCAGGCCAAGTGCTTGGAACTATTAGGTCAACCAATTTGGTTTGTAATGCTGGATACTAAATTTTTATAAAAGAGATCTCATGCTGGTATCACTTTATGGTAAAAGACTTTTCTTAGACAATTTAGCAAAATTAAAACGTACACTTCTGTGCAGGGTTACTCACTAATTCCTTTCCTCCCTTGATTACCTTAGAAAATAAGGGATTAAGAAGGTAAAACAGGAGTAATGAAGGGCACAGAAGAAAGCTCAATCCCAGCTTACCATCTTTTCACCAGCAACTTTTCTGTCCAGTTGGGCACCAAGGCTTGGACACCAGTCAAGGGTGAATTTTCCATTCTTTCAATTGCCATTCACCTGGCAAAGCAATCGCTTAAGATCCCAGTCGACCATGTAGTCACTCAGGCTCAAGACTCCTCAACCCTGTCCCTCTGACACAGAACCAACAGTGCTGGGGGAAGGGGGCCTATGAACTCAGAATTCCTACAGTAACACAGAAAGTCCCACTTGTGTTTATGAAATTTCTGTAGAAACAGTAGTAAGCTCAGTGTACCCCAAAGCATTTAAAGTAGAGACCTGTCCCAGAACCCTACCCCTGTCTTTTAAAGTTTCTTTGTGGCACTAGGTGATAGAGGGTTTCACTGCACGGACATTTCCTGAGGCAGCCCCATCAGCCCACAAACTAAGACTAGGTAGCCGGACAAGATAGTTAGTTAACACTAATTCTACACTGATAATAACTGCTTTGTCAGCTATAAGGACAGCTGTTTCTCCACAGAAAGATATCTGCTAACTTGAAAAAGATAAAAACTGAAATATTTAATCAGCCTCAATACTTTTATTTATGAAGTTGTGTAACTATAATTACTTTCAAAATAACATTAATCCCCATAATTAGGTCATGAATGGTCTTAAGGGCAATCTCACTTGGTCAAATTTTCACAACAGCACCAGAGGTTTTACAACTGGAGTTTAGTTTCTACATGTACTTAATGAATATCCAAACAGTCCTAAAGATCTCAGTAATTTATATAATCATCCAACACATTGCACCATCATTAGGAAACTTAGGGGGAATTAGACTCCTATTTTAACGAGTATTCATGGTCTCAGACATTAGAATTTACCTGATTCATCCGTTTTGAGAGGAAAACGACCACTGAACATGGACGCCAGCATTGAGTCCTTAAAACGACACAAAGACTCCCGTCTGGCTGTGTACATACAGCCACCCACATTCAGTCGAAGAATATCTAACACTTCATCTTCTGCCTTGTGGCCTTCCATCGCTCCCAAGGACTCCCCTAATTGCCTTCAGAACGGCAAAACAACGGCAGTCCAAGGAATCGCCCTATGTGCAAATAAAGGACAACCACATTGACATTTCAAACAATGCACTGAACAAATAATGAAATAAATACATCTGAACGTGATTTCAAATAAATTCCTCAGTATTGGCAATGTCGAAGGGTTTTATACCAAATGAAAAGTTTGATATACGCTGAGCAGCTGGAAATCTTTGGCACAGAGGATTTGTAAAAAGAGATAATAAACTATTATCAACCAAATCACAGCTGTTGAAAAGACTTTAAAGAAATAAACAAGCTGATGCCTATGAAGATGGTCTGTCACGTTAAGCAAAGGTGAGGTACGCTTACGATCTTTGCTCTTTTCAACTGGAAGTCTGAGGGGGCTGTCTAGACTGCAGGGCAGCTGAGCACGTAACCTGCAAGCAAGCTGCCAGGTTCTAGCACATACTAACTCTGGGACCTCAAGCAAATGACTTATCAGCTTGCACTTTCCCTCCTCATCTGTAAAATGGAGACAGTGATGGCGTCTATCTCAAAGGGCTATCTGAGGAATAATGGATATAACATAGAACAGTGTCTGGCTCAGGTAAGTACTCAGTAAATGATATTATCCGTCATGAAGCAAAGTGTGTACTGAAGGCTTCATAGTGGTTCAAGGAGCCCCAGTGGCACAGTGGCTGAGCGCTGGGCTGCTAACTGAAAGGTCAGCGGTTAAAACCCACCAGCTACTCCACCAGAGAAAGATGTGGCAGTCTGCTTCCATAAAGCAGCCTTGGAAACCACCTATGGGGCAATTCTACTCTGTCCTATAGGGTCACTATAAGTTGGAATCAACTCCTCGGCACTGCATGGGTGGGTGGGTGGTGATATTGGTTCTGGAGAGTTGAGAAAAAAAAAGAACAGACATGATTAACCCTGGAGACTATAATGCTTAAGTTAGCTAACCAAAGGATATATATTTATCAACTGAGATAATAACTCCATGTATACCAGGAGCCAAAGTGGCCGAGAAGAATATAAAAGAACACCTTGCAATCCCCCAGTTTCTTCACTCTTTAGAGTGGCTGAAATTTGGGGGAAGTTTAAAGGTTTGATTTCTTAATCCACTCTAGAGATAGATGTCCACAGGTGACTGGGACATGTTTGTAGAACTGAAACAACACTTTGATGAAAAAGGTACTCTCAACACTGACATCTGCAGTATCTGCGCATTTCATAACAAACTTAAAATGGCCACAAAGAGGGCTCAAATACAGCCATGCTCTTTTCACCTATCAGTATTATTCACTTTTGTCTAAGTGATCAAGTGAGATCATTTCATAATGGATGCCAATAAAACAGGACTGGGGCACCATCAGTCAGAGGAGGGCCATGCATGTCGAAAACGCGTCTGCAGACAGAAAACACTATGGTTTGAGGTCCGGGCCTCAAAAATCACTTGTCAATGTGACTTCAACGATCCAGGGGAGACAGCCCCTCTGAGGAATGAATCCTATCTGTTCTTTGAGACCCCAGCCAAACCTTCCTTCTTGCATTGCCTTCCCAAACAGTCCCCCAGTTAGAATCCTTGCACAATTCTCCAAATGTTCGTTCCTGGGTCCACATTTTATTCCACTTGTGTAATCCCTTGTCTTTGGGTCTGTAAGTCCCTGGAAGGCTGGGTCTGTGTCACTATTAATAATCCCCATTTTCTGATTGCCAACTACATGCCAGCCACTGTAGGACATGCATGACAGACATTACCTCGAATTCACACAAAGCGCTATCAGGTAGGAACTAATGTCCCCACTGGCAGGTGAGGCACTGGAGAGAAAAAAAAAAAAAAGTGATATGCACAGGGTCAATACTAGAGCTGTACTGCTAGTTAAGTGGTGGAACCAGCGCAATTCAGATCAGCAGCACCAACCCAACCCCAAATCTCCCTCCTTCACTCCCAGGCTACGACCTTCACCACTGCCTCACGCCGCCGATGACTCCTACAGGGCCCGTCGCTCACTACACGTCTGTCCATCCTAAGACTCGCAGGGAACTGGTACACAGCAACACTGTGAATCTAAGGATTTTAAGAGCTACTCCTGCCCCCAAGTCAGTCGCTTAAAGCATACGACTATCACTATTTCAAGGCCAGGTCCCCCAGGCCCCATCCTCTAATGCACCCACTTAGGCTCCCTGCTGTGTTGGGAGGCACGGTGTCCTCCGGAGCAGTGTCTCCAGAGTGCAATTCTCTGACTACCTGCATCGGAATCATGAGGGATGCTTGCTGAAAATGCATATTCCCAGGCCATGGTACAGCAAGCCTGGTTCAGAATGTCTGAGAAGAGGCTTTGGAATCTGCATTTTTAACAGGCCTCCATTCCATTCTTTGAAAAACACTGCTCAAGGGATTCACAATCCTTCTTCCCTAACGCGATTGGAAACGGGAGGTCCTGAAAAACCAGAAAGTCCCGCCGAGGTCTCCCCGCATCCCGGGTACCCCGAATCGGCCGAAACTTGAGCCTGCAGCCCGGGAAACCAGTGCTAACAGCGGTGGCCAGAAGCTCTCCTCGGGGACATCCCGCCGCTTCCCGGGCCCGCGGCCCACCTGGCGCCCGCTACTCTACAAGGGCGGGGCCCGGAGAGGCTACCCGACTGACCTGCAGCCGGCCCCAGCCTCGGCGCGGCCGCCGGACGCCGCGCGGCCCGACGCGGAAGTGAGCGCCTACTCTGCTGCTCAGTAACTCGCGGAGCAGAGCAGCCCCAGCGGCGCCCCCGTGCGGTCTGGAGGCGGCTGCGGCTGCAAACAGCCGAGGCTGAGACTGGAGAAAGGCCCCGCCCCCGCCCCAGACAGCCCCGCCCTTTCTTCAGCTTCTGGGGCTTCCCCAGAGACAGATACAAGGCGGGTGAGGGTGTTATCTTTGTTCCCCACGGAAAAGGAAAGGCTTGGAAGAGAAGGGACCTCTAAGGGATAGTCTTGTCCATTCAGAGGCTGGTTTTACAAAAGAAAAGAAATGGGCCACGGAAGTTCCAATTATCCAAGCAAGGTCAGTAATAAGTAGCTGGTAGATTTGAACTGCTGACTTATCTGTTGGCAGGAAATGTCTTATCCACCACACCACCAGAGCTCCTCTGCAATTGCAAAAGTTGTTGTTCTTGTTCTTGTTCTTGTTCGGTCCTTTCCAGTCAGCTCTGACTTATAGCAACCCTATGTAAAACAGAAGGAAACACTGCCGGGTCCTGTGCCAGCCTCACAATACTTGTTATACCTGAGCCCACTGTTGCAGCCACTGTGTCAATCCATCCTGTTGAGGGCCTTCCTCTTCTTGGTTGACCCTCCACTTTACCAAGCATGATACTCTTCTCCAGAGAATGATCCTTTCTGACAACAGGACCGAAGTAGGTGAAACGAAGTCTGGCCATTCTCATTTTAAAGGAAGATTCTAGTTGCACTTCTTCCAGGACAGATTTGTTAGTTCTTTTGGCAGTCCGTGGTACTTTCAGTATTCTTTGCCAACAGTTGTGGTGTTATAACAGTTGTTGTTGTTGTTGTTATGTGCCGTCGAGTCGGCCCTGACTCATAGCGACCCCTCCTTGGGTTTCCGAGGCAGTATCACTACGGAAGTAGAATTGCCCAACCTTCCTTCCGAGGAGTGGCTGGTGGGTTTGAACCACCAGCCGTCTGGTTAGCAGGCAAGTGTCTTAGCCACTATGCTACCAGAGCTCCTTTTTTAACAGTTAGGATGAGTTAAATCTCCTCACCCCAGTTCAGAAGCCTTCCCTCAAACAGGACTGCTCAGTGCCAAGAAGTATTAAAATATTGCATATTGTAAGTTCACTTGGATAGTGTTTATTGTTTACAAAGCTTTCTCACATAGAACATTCTTTAAAGTCAGTCTGTGTGACATCTCTCTACCAAACCAAAACCATTGCTGTGAAGTTGAATCCGGCTTAGGGCAACCCTGTGTGTTGTGGGGCAGAATTGCACCACAGGGTTGGTTGGTTTTTGTTCTTTTTTTTTTTTTTACTTTTTTATTGTGATTTGGGTGCAAATTTATAAAGCAATTTTGTTTCATACTCAACAGTTCACATACATTTTGGTTCCAGACATCAATTACAATCCCAGCAATAAACAGCTGTGCTCCCATCACCTCTGTGTCTTCTGCGTCCTTCTTACCTGTACATTCTTGTCTGTCTAGCTTTCCCCCTATGCTGATGCTGCCCCTCTGCTTTCTCATGGTTGACTGTTCTATGGGGTACGTCTCCTTCGTAGGCTTTGCTCATAGGCCCTTAGCTGAGAGCTAATCCACAGAAGTGAGTCCAATTCCAGGCCAGAAGCATAGCCTGGGGCCATAGTGTTGGGGGCTTCACCAGTCTATCCCACCAGTAATTCTGGTCATTTTTGTGTTTTTGAATTTTGCTCCACATTCTTCCTCTTGCTCTATCCAGGATCTCCAATTGTTATGCCTTTATGAGTGTTTGGCATTGGTAGCCTGGCACATTTAGTTCTGGCCTCAGGGTCATGAAGGCTGAGGTTCCCATGATCATTAGTCCCTTGGACTAATTGTTTCCATATGTCTTTGATTTTCTTCACCCTTCCTTGCTTCAAATGAGGAGAGACCTATAATTGCTCCTTAGAGGGCCGCTCAAAAGCTTTTAAGACTCCAGTTGCTACTCACCAAAGTAGGATGTAGAACAATACTTTTCTGTACTATGCTGTGCCAATTGAGCTTGATGCCCACCCCCGCCCCCCACCCCAAGACCATGATTCCAAGCCACTCACAGGCCTAGTAACTCACTCCTTCAAGGTTGTGGCTAAGAAGCTACCCCAACCTTGTCCCAGGTTATTTCTATAATGTATATGGATATTTTTGTAGCACAAATAATTTGTAGGAATATCATCAGCCAAATCTGTCTATACAAAAAAAAAAAAAAAAAACTGCCATTGAGTCCATTCTGACTCATAGTGACCCCATTGGGTTTCCAAGGCAGGTTGGGCAATGT